GGCAAGTAGAATGAATTTCTGACTGCCATAGTTGTGCCAGACAGATTTACTTTTTCAGCAAGGGTCTTGGCCTGGAGGGGCCGGTAGGCATCCACCCCTGGCAAAAGGGGAGGCCCTATATTTGTTAAGCCTTTCTTGCTACCCAACCCTTGATATTGGGTGGAAAGCATTTCTGTCTCAGTCAGCCAGACTGGGTCTCTGCAGCACCAGCTGCTCAGGACACAGAATGGTTGAACTGGTCGAACCCATTCATGTGATCAGAATACATTCTTCTTCCTGGAGTCTCTTTGTGCATTTTCAGGCTTTTTCTTGATCTTTGTGTGTTCTTGTTGTTTTTGGGATCCAGTTGTTCCTCCACTGTGGTTTTATCTTCTAGTAATCCAGCCCATTGGAGCCTTTTGTTGTGTGTGAATCCGTGCTGAGGGTTTTGGGCTGTTTGACTACCTGTGGGTTTGCTTCTTCTTCCTGTGAGTAGTTTCTTGCTCAGAGTTTCCTGTTTGACTGGGTTTGGTTCCTCTTTTTGTGCTTCCTCCTCCTTTTCTGGTCATTTCCCTCCTTCTTCCTCTTGTGTTTCATCCTTCTGTGGTGTGAGCACAACAGCAGCTTCCTCTTTGGGTCACAGCAGAGATGTGACTCTGTTAGAGGTCCCAACCCTGTAAGCTGCAGCTTTTCTAGTTAGTCTTGTGCATTATGATGGGGAGCAGCCTGCGTTTTCAGGCTTTGTGGGTTTATGTGGTAGTTAGGATCCAGTTTTTTCTCCACTGTGTTTTTATGTCCTACTAATCAAGCCAATTGGAGCCTTTTGTTGTGTGTTAAATGAGACTTGAGTTGTTGTGAAGCCCCCTGCAGTAAAACTGCAACATGGTCATGAAAAGTGTGTGTTTGGGGCAGTAACCTGTTGGCCTGAGAGGATCCAGGGTCCTGCATGGCTGCTTCTCCTTCAGGCTGATGTGCAGGCCCTCAGCTTCCACTTCTTCCAAAGCACAAAGCCTTCAGGTGTCCTCAGCAGCCGTCTCGGCCTCCTCCTGGTCTGAGAGCGGCTGC